GCCCCTTCCCCCTACCCCATACACTTACCTGCTGGGTAGTGTGTGTCGCTGTGTGTGTGTGTCTGCCCCTCACTTCCAAGCCACGTCCCTCCAGCCCTGCTGCTGCCCCTCACTCCTGAGCCACAGCACCCCACATCCTGCCAGAGTGTGCAGGGACCCCCCTCCCTGGGTTCCAAAACCCACACACACCCCACAGCCCCCCACACCTTCACAAATAACCCCCCACAAACACCCCCCACTGCCCAAAACATGCAAAATACCTACATAATTTTGTACAACTTTGAGATTTTCTGTGCATAATTTTCAATTTTTAGCTGTGCGATTAAAATTGTGATTAATTGCAATTAATTTTTTAATCATGCAACTAATCACGATCAATTTTTTTTAATTGTTTAACAGCCCTAATATTTATGTGCTCACCTGAGGTCACAGCTGAGATTATACAGCAGTAGCTGACAGAGCTGCTATAAAAGGTTTTTTTTCCAGCGTGGCGTTTGTCCTTTGCATAATTTACTGAAGCAGTTTTTGTAGCATACAATCATGTATCATCCGATTGAGGACATAAATAAATTCCTATCTGTCATAGGCATGATGTATTGGTGGGAGATGAAAATGGTACAGAAAACATTAGTGCTTTGAGTCACTATGGACTTGATCCAGACAGGTGTTGAGCACTCACAGCTCTCACCGAAGTCAGCAATGGCAGTGTATCTCTCAGGATTGAGACCTAAGAGAGCATTTTAGGGCATACAGAAGAGAACGTAATAGCGATTGCTCTGGCCAGATTGTGAGCCCTTTATGCAAGTATTCCCAGTGAAGCTAGAAATTGCTTGGATGTTGGAGTGTATCGCTCTCTCTATCCACAACCCACCAAATGCATCCCCAGTGTCATTCTACTTGAGCTAATGAAGTGATGCTAAAGTTGAACTCGGCCTAATATATTTAATTATTATTCAGGCAGCTTTGCAAGGCTGAGATCTTCATACCGGCAAAACTTCACAGATTCTGGTGTCCTTGAAGTCTTCTCTCTTTTTGCTCTCCTAAGACCTCAGTCAAGGAGGAGTTCCTCATATTTAATTCATCTGTCTATGGTATCGTGTGTGGAACAGTATGGAGCAGAGACTTTGCTTGTTTAAAAAATTAGACTTAATTTCTCTCAGGATCCTCTCTGTCTCTAGTCAAGTTTGTTTTAAACTAATGGAAGTAATTAGTGAATCACAGAGGGACTTTGTCTAAGAGGTAGCCATTTTTAGATAATGGAGCATAAAAGTCGACACAGTGACATATGACACAAGAGCAGCATATTGGAGCAGCGCACTGTGTCTTAAGCAGATGTTTAAGTATTTTGAATACTGAATCAGTATGAACAAATCGGAAGGATTTCTTTTCACCCAATTAGTAGTACTTTGTGTATTTGTTAAATCTTTACTAAATTAGAATAAGCACTGAATTGCTGCAATTGTAACGTTCTTGCTATGTCTGTCTGGCTTAATTATCCATTATACTTTGTGTATGATATATAGGTATTGCAGAAAACCATACCAATTACAGAACTGAATTTGATTGCTTTTTACAGTGCCCTGCCATAAAGGAAAGGCTTAATCATTCTCCAGTTTACATACTGTTTACCTGTACTGAACAAAAGAGAGGAGTTTTCTGAAAACAAATCATTAATTGACCATCCTACATCTGTCTAACACCATAACGTGTTTCAATATATTTAATGTAGCTATGAGTAAAAGGGGAGATTTTCAAAAGTTCCTAAGAGATTTAGGAGCATAAATCCCAGTGGAAGTCAATCTCTAAAGCCCTTAGGTGGTATTGCAAACCTGCCCTTAAAATGCAAACTACATCACGGTCTTCTGATGACACCACGTTCACAAGCACTTAGCGTGGCCTGTTTCTGATAGTGTCAGAAGTGTTGTGTATGCTTCCTTAGGGCTGCAGCTTAAAGCTCACTGAAACCAATGAAGGCCTCTATTGGATTTCAATGGGCTGCGAGCAAGAGTTCTGTCTTCATGCAGTAACTTGACAGCGATTTCAATATAAAAGCAAAAGTTCATGGGCTTGAATAAGACTCTTCAATCCAGACAGCCCCAAGGCGAAAGAGCTTTGATTCAAGTTCCTTTCCATGTCAGAACTCTTGTGGCCCGAAACAATCCTAATTTTTTTATTGAAATCAAGTGAGGCCTATTCCTATGCCCTGCCCACATCCCTAGGCCAAGCAGAGCTCCTCTTGAATGCACAAGCTTTGCCATTGCAAAAACAGAGGGCCTGAGCTTTCATTTTGCTCAACGTCTTCTGTTTTCAGGGGCATCACTGACTGGACCCAAAATATCAAGACCTTCAGAAAGTGGGCCATAGAAACAGTACTGTAATACTCTGTTTCTTAGATAAACAGAGGAATCATTTTCATTAGCACCCAGAAGAAAGAAGGAGCTATCAGGTCTTATTAAATAGAAAAACGTGTTATTGTAGTCTAGGGTGTTATAGCAAATGGGGCAGATGCCTGAAGTGAAAAACTCTAGACAAGAAGATGCACATAGAAGTTTATTTATTGCAAACCTAGCAATAATGAAAGGTGAAGACATAGAAATATAAAATTTATTAAACAAAATATCAAGGAGCCCCCCCTGCTTTAGAATAATCAGTCATTAAATCATGTAATCTGTGACAGTGAAATTACTTAAAAACAAAACCCTCCCCCCATAATTGCTTTAATACCCACTTAAAAAAAATACTAGATAACTTTATCCATCTTTTTTTTTTATCAGCAAAATGTGACATTTGCTGTTGGTGCCTCATAATTTACTGCAGCACTAGGTGACAGTTCCAACAGCACAGATATAAAAATGTACTAATGTCATTTAAATAAATATGCAGTCTGGAAAGCCTTTTCAAGCCAGCGCCGTTAAGAAACAAACTCAATACTGCGCTCATTAAGGGATGCAATGTGCATAATAAAGCAGAAGGACGGTCCACTGGCTAGGCCACTAACTGGGGACTCGGGAGACCAAGATTCAGTTCCTTGCTCCACTACATACGTCCCATGTGACTTTGGGAGGTCTTTTTGTCACTCTGCACCTCTGATCCCTGTATAGCAAATGAGGCTGGCAGTACTTCACAGTGGTGTTATGAGGATAAATGTGTTAAAGACTGTGAAGCACTGAGATGCTACAGTAATAGGTGCCATGTAAGTACCTTAGCTGTATATCCATTTGCACTTCCTTGAAATATTTTATCTGGTGTAATATATGTGCATATTATCCAATGAACTAATGGAGCAGCAGAGAGTGATCTAATTGTGTGCAAATGGTTGCAGGTTCAAATCCATCTAATCTGTCAATTTTGCTCTTTCACAGATAGGATATTTTTTAGCCCAGCATTGGTGATGTTCAGCCAGGTGTCAGCAAAAAAGTACTTGTTAACAAGACAATCCATTACCATCATTCGATTTTAAGTGCAAAATAGATTTCTACATTAAGGGACCCTTGATCAGACACCCTATTTTTTAGACTCCGTGTTGTGTTTTTGGACCTGTTTCAGAGTTCTGCCCTTTTCACGGGAATGTAGTATAGAGAGCGGTCAGATAGCAGATTACTGTGCTGCCTGCATGTATGAAACTTCAGCACAGGGATACATTTTCTAAAATGATTTTTTAATTTCTTTTTATTAAGTTACATACTGCTGATAATTGAATTGTTATGGGGCTTTACATTTCAGTTAAGCATGTACAAATATCTTATCTAGTGGGTAGATTGTTGAAGGATTAGGGAAACAGAATACATTTTGCGCAAAGAATACCCACAGCGTGGGTAATAGACTCCAGTTGAATTTAAAAGATAATGGTGACAAGGGAGAAATCCACTTGTAGAAATGGGGAACAGCTGCGTTTTAGATCTAATGAAACTGTATCAAATACTTTAAAAATGGCTTGCAGCTTCTTCCCCTGGGGCTGGAGATAAAGCACAGGAGCATTCTTGAAAGGTCGAAGAAACAGTTAAATCATTTCCTTGATGGTTATTAGAGATATAGAGCACATTGCTGAAAATTAAATGTCTGAAACTTGTGTTTGATTGCTTTTCTTATCATACCCATCTCACACTTCTCCTCTGTCTCTTGCCTCCTATTCTAGTAAAATTTAATGGCTGTGCTGGGAACAAGGGAGTTCGGTATGAAACCAACAACTTGGACTTCAAGGTGAGGACAGATGGGACTGTCTATGCTGCCCATCCGGTGCACACCCCTTTGAAGCAGACAATGTTTGTGGTGACTGCATGGGACCACCAAACCCTGGAGAGATGGGAAACAATGGTCAGACTGTTGGTGGGAGAGAAGTTGCAACACAGTGGTCACAAGGTAAAGAGGCTGTTTTTCCTGACTAAATCTGCATGTGTTCCCTATTTCTGTAAAAAGATTAACATAATATAGGCGTGCATTACACAGTCTGTCTCATCATATTTACAGGGCCAGTTTCTAAATAGGAAAAGCCACAAACAGTGGCCAGCGTCTCGCAAGCTTATTCCCTTCCTTGCACTTGCTTTCACGTGGCATTATTAGAGAAGATGCTCCTTACTTCAGACTTGTATGTTTTTAACTGATGACTTAGTTCTGTTGTATAGAGAAGCTTCTTGCCTTATAGAGGATTTTTCAGACTGTCATGTCATTGCTTTTTATTGTTCATCATTTCCCTCCAAATAAAGGTATGGTGAGACGATCCTGTGCCTATCTTCCTGCTAGAATTTAACTAGTCTCTTCTCAAGCGACACGGGGTAAAATTCTGCTGTCTGGTGAAACAGTTTAAAGCTTGAGTTGCACATTGACTCCGTCTCCATAGCTATAGCTGAGAGCAGAATTTGACCCGTGGACTCTTCTACCAGCATGGTACGATGATAAATTTCTTTCAATGAGCCATCTGTCTGCTTCTGCAGCCCGGTGGAAGAGCCGAGAGCTCTCATAGAGGGGATCCAGATTGGAGATTTAAGCTTGTTTTCTTCAAAAGGCAACAAGGACTAGGAGCGTGGTGGCTGCCTGATAAGAAACGCATGCTGGCACAAAGCCCCCCTTGGCCAAAAGGGCAGTCAGGCACAACATGGCACCTTTGTGGCAGGCATCCAGTCCACTGAGTGCCCATGTCCTCCCTTAACTGGAGTTGAATAATGCAAGCCGGTGCCAAAGGCTTACAATACTCACCAGTCAATATTTAAGGACTCTTTCCCGAAGCAAGATACACATTTATTATTGTTGTTGTTATATCTTTATTGTCCTGGATATGAGCAGAAGAAGGCAGCATCTGAAGGGTGCACTGTGCCATTTAAATGCAACCCTGTCTTGGCAACAGTGTTGGTTCACTGCACTCCCAGGGGCAGATCAGAGACGCGTTAGTTTTCTCCAGGCTTTAAGGTGATGCCAGTGACTCATTCAGTGTGTCTAGCTCTCTGCATTCCCTTTGGGCCAATTTTTACCTGCAGAGACAAATAGGGGGAGGAGCATTCAAAGGAATTGCATTCTGTGGTATATTCACCCCAGACCTAGGGTGAGGCATAGATCTGTATAAATATATGCTTCCCTTCTGCCCCATTCCCCAGGATGACTTTAGTTCATGCTAGACATGATTAAGCCCTGCATGTTGTACCATCTGTGTTTTCACTCAGTAACAAAAGGAACACTGCTTCCCTGTTACAGGGCACGTCTACATGAGATGCTAATTGCACTTTAGCCTAAAAGCACTGCACAGTAGTATGCCAGGCAAAAGCATGCTAATACTCTACTGCACAGTAATATTGGGCTACTGCGCAGTAAGTGTCATTAAAAGCCTGTGCGCCGGCTGGCCACTACATAGCACAA